TGGGTGTAGAGCACAATGGGGGAACGCGGAATGGGAAACATGGGATTAATAAGAGCGCTTCGTTTGCATAAATGAGGTTCAATGGACGAAATCACGCTATGGGACATATGGTCTGGTGGTTGAGTCAGTCAGTCAGTCGTAGGCTTGAGGCCAAATCCACGGTTGAGCTCCTCGCGACTGAATCGCCACGGACAACAGCCTCCGCCGCCGTTCATTGTGGCCATGGCCATTACGGCGCTACAAAAAACCACCCTCCGACTGATTGACACGCATATCAAAATTTCTGCCAGGGTCATAGAAAATGAGTCATTAACGTCAACGTATCCTAACTGCCCTTCCCCTACTGACAGACCTCCTCCGTTGCCGGAAATCCTGGGTTTTTTCCCGTCGGTGAGAAAAAATGCAGCCAGCTTGCTGAACAATCAAAGCCGAGACACTGATGGAGGTGACCCAAAAAGGGGTCAAAATAATTTGTTTGGGGAAGCAGCCGGTTCGTAAAATGTTTTCGAGCTCATGTTTGCCAAAGGATATCTGCTGGAGCTACGCCTCCTTCTCAGCTGGTTACCTCTCACCTAAGAGAACCGGTTCCGGAAACCTGAACGGGAAACTCCATTGGAATGTAGGCAATCCAGTTTACAATCAAAGCGATCAAAATGTAATTAGGTGATCTCGAACTAGTTTTACAACAAATCAAAGGCGATTCAGTCTCATGACGCACGGAGCGTTGGCATTCTGGCTAAGGGCGCCGCCTTGGAGCCCCCACACAGAAGTTAGCACCTTGGATCGGATCCCGTCTGAAGTACTAGGCCTTCTATTGCGCTAAAAATATCTAACAGGGATCAGAGTTGTAAGGTGACAAAGATCTACTGGTAGGAATACCCGGTAATCCTAACAACAATGTGCCGCTGAACACCAAACTCGAGCTGCTCCCCGAGCTCTACCTGAATTCTGAAAGGTTCCAGAAGTACGGCGCATCCCATGAAATAGCTGGTATCTTCGACGGTCAATAAATGAAAATAGTTATAATTCGAATAAATGCTATGTTGTGCCATGCGGACTTACACAAATACCGTAATCCTCAAATTCTGAATAGTAATCTCTTGAAGTTTCTGTTCATTGTTAACGAAAATTAAAATAAGTTTAAGTGGTCTACCTAATTTTAAATTGACTTCTATTTAGTCTTTAAGGCAAAAAAGAAGCAGACATGGGTGGAATTAGAGCGGGACTGGATTTCATAGAAGATACGGATCGGATCTCATTCAGGTCAACCCTGCTTTGTCGATCTTCCATGTCCATTTATGGGCCATAGACATTTACAGGGAGAAAAGAAGTGGCTTATCTGGTAATAGATCTATTATGACTGCAAATTAATTTAATTATCCATCGAAATTGCCAGAACAAGCCTGAAGTGCTGGGCTACATTGGGAAAAAGAAAACTGGACAACAAAGTTGCTATGCTTGTAAACAAAGAACTCGGTCAGCCTCAGCACCGAGTTGGTTAGAGCACAGAGCCAGTCGGCTGGGACTTCAGTCCGGAGTGATTCTGCCCCCAGCTTATCCACTAGGAGGTTCCTGAAGGCACCCAAAAAAGGCACCCTGTTGAACCTTAAAGACCATTTACCGTTACCAGAATGGGTATGGGAACAGAGCAAAGGTATTTGCAAAATTATAAAAGGACGAGATGGCACATGATGAGGAGAAGGGGGATGAGAAGGGCCGCGAGCCGCACGATGGCGGCCAATTATGCGGTCATCGTTGTGTGTCTGTCTTTTGTCGTGGTGGTCGAAGCGGAGCGCTGAGGAATTGTCATTGAGTTCCGCATGCCGCACCCTTTGCAAGAGCCCTTCGGCATAGCCAGTCCAATTGTTTCTATTCAATCAGCCCTACGGTGAGAGCTAAGCACTTGTACTTGGGGAAATACTCTGATGGGAAGAAACGTACACATAACGATGCGTCACTTTGGGAGCTCTTCCCAGCAACGGACGTTTTTAGGTTGTCCTTAGCGTCTTTCATGACAAATTGGAAGTGTTATCCGTCTAGACGCCACTATAAAAGACAATAGCCATTGGTTCTCATTAGTTCCAAGAAACAAGCTGAATACAAAGGAAAGGGCTAATAAAAAAGCTATAAGGGACAGTCATTAAATTTAATAAGAAATCATAAAAGATCCTCATCAAAAACCACAAACAATGTTGACATGCTACCCCGATGGCAGGGTAGGATTCGCAGGAACTTCGTCTAACTTTTTTTTTTCGAAATGAACATAATTACTCGGGCGGGGACAGATCGCATGCCAAGTCGCACTTCAAGGAAATTGCTATTCCCAAAAAAGGCTTTGGGGAAACAGGAGGTCTGACATAGTAAAGCTTAGGGCAGATGGTGCTTGGACAGGGCAATGCAGGCGGAATGAGTATGGGAGACTCTTTTCCAATTTCTAATCTTTGTTCATCTGCAGTGCAGACCCATCGTTCCAGTTTGGATTTTTCAGGGATACCGTCGACGGAAACCTTATCGAACAATAAAATCGCATTTTTTGAACAATTTTATGAAAAAATAAGGTATCTATAAGCGATGATGTTCATGATTACCAACGTTTAACCTTCCTATGAGGTAGAGCAAGAGTAGAAAGTGCTACCGTTGCCATCCACATGGCCTGCATCACTGATACATTTCAACCAATAAGTAAAATTGGATCGGTCGATCTTCTATCTTAAAAGCACAGTTCACGATAAAAATGGTTTCTGAGATCCCCCACGGTAAAATTCGAGGCCCCTGCGTATACCATATCTGGCGCTATTAGGTCGGAAAACGGCCAAGTTAGGGAGTTTAAAGGCTCGAAGATTGGCCCATGTGTATTCTCGGACGAGTTTCACCGGCATTGTAGAGGCTCCACCAATCACAGAGGAACTCATGTAGGAAGTTCAAACAACTTGCCATGACTCATAGCGACTGTGAAAGACAGTAGTTCTGTACAGTTCTGGCTTGATGTTGTGAGCTCGTTGTGCAATTGCAATAACTGAAATCTCGTCCGAATACCCCTTCCATCTTATTTCCGTCATGGCAATCTCGTCCAACCTCTATTTTCCCTACTTTTGAGGAGCCATACTTTTCTCGAAATTGGCGGATTCTCTCGCTTTCTTCGCTGCCTATGAACTATTCCCAATTTATACTTCCGCTTTTCGAATGAAAACGTGTACTTCAAACTTATCGTGAACTGTGTCTTTGAATCTTCAATAAACTTTAAGTTTCGAAAGGAATCTCACTGAGTGGAATTTGTTCGTACTAGTAGGCATACCTACGTGTTTACCTGATACAGGTGTTTTTCATGGCGGTAAAGATAAAAGATGTTATCAGTTGACCAATGGCTCTCCCACATAGTTCCTTTTCCGTATTATTTACCTACTGGGAGCGTTGGAAAGCTAAGGGATCAGTTGGAAAGGTTATGTCTCTCATTTTTTAGCACCTCAGTTCATACAAACGCTATGGATACGAGATGGTAGCGTCTCGATCGCCGCTTGCCATTCACTGGGCCCAGAAACAAAGCAATTCCGTATCGACCAAGCCTTTACCTTTTCTGGATGAAGACATTTTTCTCTGATTTTTTCATAACAATCCATGAAAAAACTCGAGAAAAGACCATGCTTGTGACGGGTTGCAGCCTGGCTAGTAGGGAGATCGCCAAGGGAGCCGGTACATCTCTAACTCAATCATCGACCATATCCCCACTAGACACTTAAGGCTAGACTATCGATAACTCCCAAATCCCGGGGTAGGAAAAAAGTGGAAACGTTGATTAGTAATAAAATTGTATAAAATCTACAGTAGTACTTTCCGGAATAATAACTAATAATAATAACTTCTCATAAGCGGTATGAAATGAAGCTGCAGCTCGGATTGAGCGAGGATGAATTGAAAGTCGGAATCATTGGTTGGGCACTCAAAGCTATTTTTAGGAAGGCAAGAAAAAATCACCAGCGCATCAATAATCAACAACGCTTAAATCAATACTGGTCTCATGGAAAAATCAAAAATCGAAGACAAAATAAGGAAAATGCACAAACAACGGCTAAAAAGACGGCTGGCTCGGACCAGTCCGCCTGTTGGCTGAGTACTACAATCATTGATCAACAATTTAGTAAAGAGAGATCAAATGAGTGGGACGTCCAATGGAGTTGGAGGTGGGGAAGTTCCTCATACTCTAGTACTAGGCCTCTGTAGAAAAAAAGGGCCTCAATATCCTAAAGACCTAATTCGCCGAAAATCGATGAAATTAGCGCCAAAATTATCTGTGAGCCAATTCTGGTCTGCATGTCGTTCTGGCCTGTCTGCCAGCTGAAACCTCATCAAAATGATTGACGACGAGACCACAGAACCATTGGTTGACCTCGAACGTCACCACTAGACGGTTATCCATAGCATGAACTCCCGTTCAAGGTTATGTCATAGAGGCTATGGACGGAGGTTACTGCTGACAGTTTTCTGTTTGGTAAAAAATGAGACAAGAACAAAATCAGCAACTAAACACATCCGAAAGCCCAGTTTGCGGTTATTTTTTGTACCGTTATCGAGGAAAAGTCGAAATGTTTTAGAATTGTACGAGATCCTAACGATAAAAAGGGTGTTTGGACGAGTTTCCTCCTACCGAGACAATCGGCTTTAACACAGTCGTGCTCCAGTCTGAATTATGCGACCATGTCCCCTCCCCCAGGACACAGCTTCTGAAAAGCCAGGCAGTTTGCCATGCCCTTGGAAATAATAATATTGTGAACGCTATTAAGCCCCATTACGCCTCTTGCGAGACGCTTTTCGACACAACGATGCGGTGGAATCGTCCCATAGAATGGTCCCGTTGAGGCGATTCTTGCCGCGAACTATTCCCACAAGGAATTTCAGGTTGTGATTTTTATTATTAAATTATCATGAAATATGAATGAACAACTTCCAGGTAGAAACAATTGCCATAAAGAAGTAGGTAACGACAAATGAGATCCCATGAGTGATTACTTTCCATACCAATACGGTGATTGATCCACGTATCCCCACACACCATTGTAGTATGGTCCTGAAACGAAATGAAATAGGCATTTCTCAAGGCTGCAAACCTTCTAAGGCTAATTCAATAGTCAATAGTCAATGTACAAGAACTCGAGTCTCACCAAATCGTTCTTGCTGTAGAATTTCGAAGTTCGTTGGAGCTGGCAGTCCATACTTGTTCTTGTGAAACGAGATTTCGTGATAATAGTTACGGTAGGCTGCATGGGTGTATAGGGGTGGTAGACCGCTATTGTAGAATTTATCTCTAAGAATTTGAATCCAGTGCTGAACAGCTTCTATGGAGGTCACATCACCCACTTGAAGAAGCCAAAGCTATCCACTCCAACATTGCTCGGGCCGATACCGTGGGGGCCGTAGCCGTAGTTGTTCGTGAAGCCGTTTCGTTTCACCCTGAAATCAGACCGCATGGTCAATGGATAATGGTTTTCAATGGATTTTTTCGAGTTCCTGCTACAGCACAGGACCTGTCCCAGTAAAAAGTGAATCCGGGCTATTTACCGAGTATGAACCTCTTGAAGAAAACTCATCACTTCAAAGTAAATATAATGTTTTCTAAAACTCATAACGACGAATCTTGAAGTTTATTATCCGTACAAGAACTTGAAACTCAT